AAACATTTATTTTATCTTTAAATAGAAGGGGTGCCATGATTATTTTGAGTAATTGGATAATTTTGCACTTATTGCCTTGAGAATAGGGAAGAGATATTACTTGTGGGTTTTACTCACCTTGTTGATATTAATTGTTATATTATTAAGGGTGAAATTAAAAAAATTATTATGCTTTTATGTGTTTTTTAACTAAATACTAATTTTTTATTAGTATACATGATTTAGTTAAAAGCACCTTATTTATAAAGATAGAGGGAATACCTCACAATAACTAAGAAAATATAGTTAAATAATTAGTTTTGTCAAAAAAAAAATCAAGTTACCTTTATTAAATGCATTATATTTAAAAGATAATTTTTTTTATATGCAACTTTTCCCTCTACTTATAAAAAAATAAATGGTAAAATTGAAAAAATAATTAATAATCCATTTTTCACTTGAATAAACTTATTAAGTAGACCATCAATTACTTATAGATGTGATTCATAGATAGGATTGATGATAGTACTATTTATCAATTACATGTCTTGCATGACAAAAAAATATAACAATTAAATTGAGAGAAATTTTAGAGGTGTGCATGAAAAGTAAGTTTTTTTATTAAAAAATTTATTATTTTATGCCCCCAAAAGATAACCTTTATGGCCATACAAATTAGTTTATGTTACGGACTTGAAATATCGGAACGCATGCAAGAAAATAAAATTCTATTTTATAAATTAAGATTTTAAATTTATGTGTTACCTACCAAAAATTAAAATTTAAATGACATATTGTCTCATTTTAAATTTTTTTTATCTATATGCATTTTTTAAAACGTAAATAGCATACCCCATAAATATTAAAAAATTATATTAAAAAATATGTTACTCTATGCATGTTAAAATTATGAAATTGTTCTAAGATGTGTTATTCACTCGTAAATTAAAATTTAAATAATAAAAAATTTATTTTATAAATTTTTATTTAACTTTATGTTTTATTCTACTATCTATTATTTCACACATGATCCTTCAACGTGCATTTTTTTTAAAAAATAATCCAATGTTCATCCCATTTAAATTTATTTTATTTTATAATTTATTATCATCTATATTTTAAAAATAAAATTAAAAAATTACTTCATGTAAAATTCCATATGAGTTAAGATTTGAAACAATAAAAATTATCCATCAAATTATACACATATTAAGTTTGTAATTTCACAATAAAACATTCTATTTTATGAACTATTATTTAAATTTATATTTTATAATACAATTAATTGTTTTATATACATATATAAGATATGAGTAACAAATGATAAGTAGATCTCCTATTTTTACAAAAATATTAGTTCTTATACTATTTTTTTTATTATGAGTTCTATATTTACAAATATTTTTTATTATGGTCCCACACCTTTTTTTTTGTTATGGGTCCCACAAGAATTTTTTTTCTAAACAGTCAATTCTAGATGGACAATACCATGATGCACATTATATGGATATAGATAGATGGAAGATTGATACAAATGCTTTTTAAAACAATGGACTAAACTGTATATTTAATTTTTTAATTTTACATAAAATTTGATTTTTATTTTTTTAATTTATAAAGTATCTTTTTAATTTTTTAAATTTAAAAAAATTAGTTTCATTAATAAAAAATTTACATTAAACTTTTAAATATTAATAAAATATTTTTAAATATTAACATATTAAATTTAGTATGTATTTAGATTAATGAGAATTTAAATTTAGAATTGAATTTGAATAAAAATTTTTATTTGGATATATAAAATTCTAAGAATTTAGATTTAATTCAAATTCAAATTTATATTTTATAATAGTTCTTTCGTAAGTTCAAATTGTTGTAGTAATCGTGTTTGTGTGTCAAAAGAAGTTACATATTACCTAAATGAAGAATGTTCTTAATATATAAATATTAATAAATGAAATGGGTTAGTAAAATGGGCTTAGAGGAGAAGTGGTTTCTCACGCATGAAATAAGCTAACTTAGAGTAATTATAGTTAAAAATAGCCAATTCATGCCCCCTGCACATAAGTTCAAGAAGTATTGGGTTCCTTTTATTAGATTATTTTTGCAAAAAAATAATTAATTATTTATTTTTATGAACTTACCAAAAAATCTCAAATTTTTGCTGTTTAAAGTTTAAATTCAAGCCTTGGCCATTTTTTGAGTGTTAAACCATTTCTCAAATGGATTTTTTTAAATTAATTTCTTAAACGTGTTTGTTCTCTAATGGCTCCAGATTAATGACGTTTTATGTGTGTGTAATCCAGACTTTAATTTGGTGATTGTGAGCCTAACATTCATGTCTTTGGCTTCGGCTTATATATAGGCATGGGTGTAGATAGAACAGAATGCCCGCCTCTTGAGCTTTTGAGGCTTTTCTTTCCTCCTCCAACTTTTGCTGTGTTCTTCTCCATTTGAGTTTGCTAGTGTTTGTTGTTTCGGTGCCTTTCATTTTGTAGGACATGTTTGTTTAATCCTAAAAAACTGCCAGTCTGCCATACTAGTGTGTTGAAATAGTTTTTAAAGACAGTGTCATTTAATACGACTCAAGCAACTTTCAATTTACTTCTATACCGTTAACACAAATTCCTCCTATATTTTGGTCATTTGAAATGATTACAACTTCGACCGTCTTATTTTTTTTTGTTTTCACTATTGTTGCCTTTGTAACTATCGTTTCTTCTCTATGTCGTTCTCGTCTCTTAACGATCACATAATAGAGGTAAGCTTGTTATTCTCAAAATTTCATTTTTGCTTCAAAACCCAACTCATCTCTTTTCTTTCTTTAAAATTTATCATACTATTCAAATAATTTTTTTTTACACATACGGATTTTAAATGGAAGATTTTCAATTTAAAATTTAAATTCAAATCTATCAATCCAAATGCTACCTTAATTTTTTTTTAAAAATAAAAATTATTAGCACAATAATAATCATTTGAAACTAATATTGTTAGGAGTTTAGCATACTAAGAATGTGCTTCATAAAATTAAGAGATCAAATTAAAATTTTATATAAAATTAGTGAATCAAATATACTCTACACTTTATACTAAGGGTGTGTTTGGATGTATGAAGATTTTGATTTAAATTTGAATCAAATCCTTTATTTGAACACATAAAAATTTTAAATCCATATTTTATTATAAAATTTTTGTAATTTTAATTTTTTTTATGCCATAGTTATTTAAAATTTCACATATTATAACCCACTCATTTTCTTTTAGTTTTTATTGTTGATGTCTCTGATATTTTCATTACTTCTATCATCTCTCATTCTGGTCTCCTAAAAAATTCACCGTACCAAGGGAGTGAAATTTGACCTTTTTTATTTGGCCAACTAGTGAAATTGGACCTCATACATTAATATATTAATCAGTTGAACAATTCAACAAAAGATGTGAAATTTATTTTTGTTCTCAATAAATTTAAACACTGTTTTTTTAAAATAAATATCATCAGATACAATAAGTAGCTGAGTTTTTTTTTCCTGCTTTTTTAATAAATAAATGAGTTTAAACGGACATAATCAAATGTATTAAAAAGTAAATTCTATTATCAAACTTTTCTCTCTCTACTTGGTGTGACAGGGGTACGGACGTCCAAAATAGGGGAAAAGCCAACAAATATCTATTTTTAAATGTGGGATCAGATACTTTTAAATGTGTGAAAGGGAGTAATATTTTAACCTAAAATATTTAATTTAATATTTATTTCCTTTAATTTTCACATCTTTCAAAATGATTTTAGAATCCAAATTACATTAATACCTAAAATTATGATTTCAACAACTGTCAAAAAAAGGGGGGAAAATACGTTATAATGAAAGGTAAAAACAATTACAAATGGTGTGACTTGCTTGTGCCACATGGTGGTGCTAGAGAATAATCAATAATGCAGTCTCCATATATATATGGATACATACTTATACATAGATTGTTATATTGAGTGAAAAAAAAATAATGATATAATACAATGTAATTTCTTCGGTTGAATATATAAAACACATGCAGAAAATGTAGTTTTTTCTTCAATCTCATAAAAAAATCGAAGGGTCTGCTTTCTTTTACACTTGAGCCCATTTACCATATAAAATTTACACTTATTCTCCTCATGAAGAATATTTTAAAGAGTTAAAGGCAAATAATTCTTCTTCAAAAATTTAAATTGCACCCACTTTTAGTTTTAACATCATCTGAATGACTTCTATGAGAAGCCCTTTAGTTTCTAGTACAAAGATGAGGATGAAGAAGATTCCAAATGCAGCAACAAAACCAAAAATCATGAAAGTCCATGCAGTTCCAATACTCTTTGTTAGCACCATAAAGGTCTGAAACACAATGAGATTAGAAACACAAACAAATGTAGTTGGCATGCCTCAACAATCTCTCTTGTAACTGTGCAGATATATCTCAGAGTTGACAACCCAAGGAACAAAAGTACAAAACAATCCTTATTTTAGGTGAGAAGGAGATGATATGGAGAGATTGCAAATCAACCTAGATTAAAAGGACATCCTTCTATACTAGCAAGGATTTTTTTTTAGAAAAAAACTAAAAACTATATTATCTTTAAATATAAATATAAATGTACGCGCATTGATTATTATTTATTGAAAAATATACATATTAAAAACAAAAAGATACATATGTTAAGGAATCCTATACATTGAAGCTATTTTAAGCGCTTTTTCTTTCTTTCATGGAATAAGATTGTTTTATTTTAATGGATTGGACTTTAGAATAATTTATTTTAAATAATATTGTTTAAGTATCTATAAATTTATTAATTTTTTTTATCCGAACATGTTTTTTAAAAAATACTTTTACATCTAATTTAAGCAAAAAAAAAATTTTAAGTTAAAAATTAACTTTTTAAATGAAAAGTATTTTTTTATGATGGTGACCAAACAAAATATTTTCTGATTTTTTTTTAAAATCTCTACAAAAGAAATCATTTTTTATAAAATCTTTAAACCAATAAAAATCACTTATCTTTTAATCTTTAAAAATTGGTAATAAGTCACAATAAAACTAAGCTTATAAACAGAAAAAAATTCAGGTTAATCAAAATAATTGTTAATGCAATTAGTAGAGATGGACTAGTGAAAGAAATCAGCCATCAGCCTTCCCCAGTTCCTTTTCTGGGAATTGCTAGCACCTGGAATCAAACTAATTTACTCAGTTAAAAAAGGGCCAAAAAAAAAAAAATGACACCAAAAGCAAAATCCCAAACTAATCTAAAGAAACCCCCAACATCTTTCTCCATCTCGACACACATAACTGAAAAGCTCAGCATTACTCCAAGACCTATTCGAAGGTCAAAAACTTGAGCTGCATTAATTGAAATCCATGTCTGTCTTTCTAATTTCTATTATCCCTCCCTGGTACCAGAGACATAACATCATATATGTGCATTTTGTCATGTCTTGTACGATATTTAGTGTCCAATACGATATAACATGCTTCATCCAAAGGCCGAAGGAATCACTGTAATATGCTTTTCTGGATGAGAAATGTCTGTGCCACCAGCATGTTGCACAAACGCTGCAGGAGAGAAGATGCTTCCATGGCAGACACAGACAATGCTAACCTCTGAGTTATTGTATTTGTATAAGAACCCGTTCACTCGCTTGCCATTTGGCCCGTTTCCTGTCGTTGAAACGTATGGCATCCTGGGATGCAGGCTTGATGGCAATGGTAATGGCGGTGAGGTGGATTGAGGCCGAGGTCTCGGGGGTTTAATTCTTCCCATGTCTTTTTCATGGGATAAGGGCGGATTTTTTGTGAGTTCTTGTTGAGGGGTTTGATTTGGTTGGGTTGGTTTGTGTTTTGTTGCACAATAATGTCGTGATCAGATCTAGTAGGGTGAGATGAAGCATTAGTTTGTTCAGGTTGGCTTCTCATGTTGCTTTGCTTGGAGCTATTCAACTGAGTTGGTTCATCTAAAGACTGAACCGATTGGCTATGGCCATCGCTGCTACCCCCACCTGAGAAGAAGATCATAAATTAACATTGATGATCAAATCCAAAAGGTAAACTTGGAAGCTATGATTCTCATTTATAATACAAGAAACTCATGCTGGAATGTTTGATTGGTTTCATGTTGAAAGCTGCTAAAATTGTAATTAAAACAAGTAATCTTCTAACCTGTAATGTATATGGTCTATCATTTACTAAGCAACCAAGACTTCTAAAGCACACTCATGTCACATAATATTCAAGGGAAAAATGACTACTAAGAACTAATCTAAATCTAATTTAAACCATCAACTATATACTTTAAACAAAAATGAGCTCAGTTTCATATACTGGAATTCTCATATGGCTTCTCACTTTTCATCCATGATCAGAATCCATCAACTGCTTAATATTATCTATATCTATATTAATTAGCAAGCAACCTATCTTTCAAATTCCGTGCGTATATAATGTACAAAAATTTAAATGACATACAAATATACAATAACAAATCTAATTCTGAAAACACTGGAACTGCCACGAAATATTAACCTGGGAATTAGTTACAACAATGAGAATGTTAACATTCGTACTATGTCAGTAACGAAATACCTTATAATGATGTTTCAATCCCTTAAAATTAGATTATGCGTGAAATAAATAACGTTATCTCATAAGAAAGCTTGAAACGCAAATTAATAATTTCTGGCGAAACTGTTTGATTTATTTGGAAGTTTAATTTAAATTTCTACATACTGACTTCATCCTTCGGCGAGAGATTCTCATTCTGTTTGAAGTATGAACATCTACGTTCAACTGGTCAAACATTCAAAACACATGATTTCATGACCAGAACAAAAGAATATATACTTTTCTTTTAAAAAAAAAGTAAATAAAATATTAAAACAATCACCTTCATGGGAAGAACTCAGGTGATCGGAAACCACAGAGGAACTGCACATGGAAGACCCGTCGGATTTGGCTTTCTTATCACCACAATCTCTTTCTCCGTTCGGGTCTGGCCCGTACCCGTTTCCCAAAAACGGTCGGAAACCCTTACAAGCCACCGCCGGCTGACCCGCATTCTTCTCTTTAACCATCCATGGCACCACGCAAGTGTACGCGTACCCATTGTTCAACTGCACGTACGTGTACGGTTGTTGAAACGACGCCGTCGAGCCAACCGTGATGCCACTCACACAAAACTGCTGCTCGCCGCCGGTCAAATTCAGATTCACGTTCTGGCACTCGGATCCACCGTTAAGATGATGATCCTTTTTCTCTCTCTTGCATACTCGTTGCTGGTGGTCGAGTTCGGAGTCGGTTTCTCTGACGAGTCTCTTATTCTGCTGCTTCTCCTCGCGCTTCTGCCTCGCTTCCAGCCTCCGCAGCGCGTGGGCCTCACGCTTCGTTTGTGAATCCATAACCGCCGCGTCCTCAGGTTTCCGATGCCAAGTTTGATGTTGTTGTTGTTCTTGTTCGTGGTGGTGCTCATTACCATTCGATTCGAACCCGTTTAGTTTTAAAACGGGCTTTGCCGGCTTCTCCGATCTACCGAAACTACCTCCAATTGATAAACCCAAATCCAGCTCTACCTCTTCCACTTTGAATCCAATCTCTGAAACTTCCACCATTGTTGAACGAAACGAAACGAAACTCTCGAAAGCTGAAACGCTAAGAGCCACATACACCAGTATAATAATTCTCTGAAGGAGACGACGATGATGGATTGTGCTCTGGATTTTCTAGGGAAGAAAAAGAAGTGAGGGTTTGAGAGGGAAACGACACGTGGCGAAACAGGAGAAGGCAATGAGGACGGTTGGTTGACACGTAAGCGATAGGGCGGGATATAATTAGACGGAAACATTAACACAGAATTATTGCTAATTTAAATATCCGTCTCGCCCTTTAAGGGCAGGGTTGGCAGGGGTTCTGAGGACGCCACGTGGCGAGTGTGCATGAGGAACTTGGGAGGTGACACGTGTTTGGAGATCTTGGTGAGAATCTTTGACGTCTCAAGCACTCCACGAATCACGAGGCGACGGAACGACATTGGCGGGAGAATGGAACGACAGGCAGACAAATTATGTTGAGTGTGAACCTGAGGCCCTATATTTTTTACAGAGAAGAACACGTGTATGGAGTAGAGAGGGGTACAGCTCAGCAAGCTTCATGCTGTGTGGGGGAACAGAGACCTTGGGCGAGAAGCTTTTTCAGAAAGAGACAGGGTAGGTAATGTCGACACGACGACGTTTCGGCGCCTGACTGGTTCGTACTTCGTACGCGTGGTGGAACTAAGATACAGGAAGAGGACACGTGGGGAGAGTTTGAATGGGTTGGGTAGGGGAGAGCGATGCCACGTCAGGGAATAAATGAAGGTGGGCCCGTGAAAGTAGACTTTGGTTTGAAAGGAGAGATACTGGGGAATCGACTTTGCTCCTCTTATCCCTCGCCCCTTCGAAACTCCGCCGCATAGCAACATGTTTGACCTTTGAACATCAATATTTTTACTTTTTATTTTTATTAAAATAAAAAAAATAGAAAAATAGTAAATTTTTTTAATAAATCTAATTATCAATTTAAACAGATTAAATTTAATATTAGTGCTCCAATTTTTTATGATAAAAATATTTTTAAAAGTACTTGTTAGTAAATATTTATTCTATTTAAAATATATTTAAATTTTAAAATTTTTAATATTAAATATAAATTATTTATATTAAATTTACATTGTTAAAAGTATATATATGTTTGAGTAATTAATTTGTAAAAAATTAAATATTAAATATAAACTATTAACATTAAATTTAGACTTTCAATGTCAGCAATCATTTTAATAAAAAAATATTAAATTTTAACCGTACAGTACATATTCTGCTGCCGTGCAGCAAAGCGGAGTCCAGAGAGGCCGAGCGCAGGGTGTTGAGCTGCATGGAAGACACGTGGCGGTGTCACTGTGGGGCAGTCACAAGAGGAATTATACAGTATAGCTGTATTTAGTTGGCAATATTTGCAACTGTGTGCGTTTTTTGTTTTTGAATATAAAGCCAACGACAAAACCTTTCAAGAGAGAGATACTCTTCATTTAAAAGTATAACATATTTTTGATTAAATTTTATTTTTTAATAAAATAGTTATTTATTTTTAAATTAATTATATTTTTTTATATTTATTTTTATTAAATACTTTACAATAAATATAAAATCATTTATCAATAGAGACACTTTTAAAAAAAAGTGATGATTACACTTTAAAAGAATAAAAATATCTTACATTTTTTAACATTCAACTTCTTAAAAATTATTTTATATTTTTAAATAAAGAAAATAAACATTAAGTTGTGTTTAAAGTCATAAAATCTCCACAACAGGAGAGACATTATCAAGAACCCTAAAATTAAAATTATCCCAAGATGTAAGTTGAAAAGCATATCAATACATCTACTAACTTTTTTATAAATATGATTGGGTGGCCATTTTTTCTAAAGCGGTTGGCATCGATGATCTACCCAAAATCCTCAATTAAATTGATTTGGATTTTTTAGGGTCAAATTACTCTATCAATTTATTAGTCACTTTTAATTATCTAATCAAAATTAAAAAGATATAATTAAATTATTAATATTGTCTAAAAAAATAAATTTTATAATTTACACTTATTAAATGTAACGTTTTTGTAAAACATTTTATCTTTCATATAATTTTTTATTCTTTATTTATTGAAAATTATGAAATAATAAAATTAGAAAAGAATAGATTATAATTTGTTTCTAAAACGTGACTTATATAAACTATAAAAAAAATGAGGAAAGTAATTTTGATAGAATTGATTGTGATCATTGAGGACAACAAAATTCTAATACCAAGTATGATCATTAAAACCTTTGATTAAATCCACACTCAATTGCATTACCCAAAAAAAAAAAAAACCCCACACTCAATTGAATCGAGTATTTGGTGGTGGGTTGGACCTTTGGCCAACCTCCACCCATGATCTCTCTCAAATTAGAACGCGCATAGATCAGTGTATATCTTTAAATATAAGTTGGAGAAAATGGTATTAGAAAAACTCAGTTTAGAAAATTCAATTTGCAAAAGCAACAAATGTATTTTGATTTCAATTGGGTAATTGATTACAGAAAAAATTGATTATCAAATGGAGTTTTAAAATAATTGATTATTGGATAGAGTTTTAAATAATTTCTCCCACAATGAAATTTCAGAATCATAATTATTTATCAAATAGAAATTTCAAAGAATGAAATGTTTGGGTAATTTTCTTCAAAACAAAATTCCAACGAGTTGGTTGATTATGAAGGGTATCCAAACACACCCAACAACATTTCACCTACGTTAAGAAAATTGAGGCTCGATGCGCCAAACCAATGACGGACCTACGTTGGAATTAAAAAAAAAAAAAACTACATGTAAGTCCTTTAAAAAATTACTCTTGCTACCCTCATCTCATAACAAAATCACTTTTGTCCCTCCTCTCATAAAAAAAAAAAAATTGTTTGTGTCCTTGTATAACATTCCATTTGTCCTTTTACTATATATTTAACATTTTTAAATCTCAAACATACACAACAGGCACATATTTTTGATTCACTCAACCATATACTTTCTCCATTAAAAAATATAAAGTATTTTTAAAGAATTAATATTAAAAAATGTAAGGTATTTTTAATTTTTCAAGATGTAATCATTGCCTTTTTTTTTTAAAAGTGTCCCTATTAATAATTAATTTTATATTTATTGTAGGGTATTTAATAAGGTAAATATGAAAAGATAAGGGTTAATTAAAAAGCATAATTACTTTATTGAGATGAATTCGATTAAAAATGCTTTACATTTTTAAACAAAGAGAGTATATATATATATACATATAAACATATATTTTTAACATTTCCTACGAAAATGAATTTTGTAAAACTTATATGATAAAATAAAGTTAGGTAAAACTTATATATTTATATTCAATTAAATTATAATAAGCGAATCTTAATATGTTAATTAAATTAATAACAATACTTTATATAATATAAATAATTCATAAAAGATCACATGTCCTGCCCCCACTAATTTATTTTTCTGGTCCGGGGCTGCACCAAACACAATCTCATCTAACAAAAGCAGCCAGACAATAATTAATGGAAATCAGATTTACAAAAATGGATTTGAGCCACCAAACTATGAGAATCCAGACCTCGACTTACAACGTTAACCATCCGACCCTTATCTATGCTCGTCTTGGCATTGGCTAATATTTTAATATTTTTATTAAATAGAGTTGATAATTTCTTCTATATATATAATCCAAAAAATATTTTTAATGAAAAATTCCTTTAACAAATATAAAAAATCATAGAATTTTTTTTGAAAGCCAAAGTCTAAACATACAGGAGCGTTCAATCTTATCCCCCTTCATATCTTTAGTTTGTCCCAATTATGTCGAGATGAGTTTCTCTGTTTGAAAAAAAAAGTGACAGAACTTTGCAGGATGAAAAGGGCTACAGGATCACCATGAGGCATCCCATCCTGAACATATTATTATTATTATTATTATTATACCTTGTTCAATTAGAAACGGAGTATATGTTTTTATTTATTTTCTTTTTACGTAATATCTAGACATAGGATAAAAATATTACATGTTTATTTTTTTTTTAAGTCGGGATATAGGATAGGACTGTTGGTTTTTGTGCCGTAAACACCTCTAATTGTACAAAATAGTTGTCACAAATGGGATAAACAAATGTATGTGTATTCTTAAAATGGTGGAAGAAAAGAACATGATAATTGTGCAAAAACAAGAGAAGGGCATTGCTGCGGCTGGCAATTCGGCAATTCCAATCATAAAAGTGGGACGGTGGCTTGTGATTTGTGAAGAGACATGTATTATCCAAATCTGCTTTATATGATTTAGAATTAAAGTTTTATATCTATAATTTTTATTCAATAATTGTTTTTTTTAAATAATAGTGAAAAGACTGTATTCCCCCATGTTTTTATTATAAGGCACCCTTAACTATCCACTAAAATAAATGAGATATGATTAAGTTATTAACTTTGTTTAAAAAAAAAATAAACTTTTAGTTTTAGGGTCCAGATCATCTTTCTCCTTTTCTTCTCTTCATCCAATCTCTATTCATAACTAATAAAATGAATGGTTCAGATTTAATTATTTTATAAAATGATTATCATAATATCATCTCTCAAAAAAGATCTCCTCGAAATAAAAAAATGGTGCTCCATCATATTTAATGGTTCCAGCTTAACTATTTTTTAAAAGAAAAAACATAACTTTGAGTCCTTACATATTGCTCGAATTTTGTTATTAATCCTTGTATTTTTTTTTTATGTTCTAGATCCTTCCATGAGTGGTATTATAAAGACTTAGAATATCGAAAAACAAAAGTGTAGGATTTAGAATATAAAAAAATTTATAGGGACCTATATAAAAATTAGAATAAAATGTTGAGACCAAAATTATATTTCACTTTTTTAAAATATGCATGGGATTTCTCTCCTTTCTTATGGTTGATGCTAATGATTTTAGCAGGCGAATATGGGCTCTTTGGGTTGATACCAAGTGCGATCTGCAGGTGCCAGAGTGTTCTGATCAATCTATGCGTCTTAAATCGAATGACAATGGTGAGACACAATTCATCACGTGTTTATGCAAGCACTGTGCCTAGCAAGAGAAGTCAATTATGGACTTATGGCCCCAGTTGATAGAAATGAGTCTTACTGTGAACAATGCGTGGTGCTTGGGCGTGATTTCAATAGCATTTTATGTAACAACGAGAGGGTTTCCTCAAGCTGTAACAGGTCACAAATTGATCACGATTTTTTAACCGGTTTTTCTGAAATAATGGGTTTGGTTGATTTTTCATTGTCTGTCCATCTTTTACTTGGCAAAGGGATGGATCTCGGAGTAAGTTGGATCTGATATATCCTTACAAACACTAGTTTTCTTGAGAAATCTTCTAACGCCCACTACCTTATATTTTTATCAGTTCAAGTCCGATCATCGACCACTGCTTTTAGGAACGATGTCACAGAAACCGTATCAGCAACAGTTGGAACAGCCTTTTCGTTTTCTAGCCCCTTGGATTTTTCATGATGACTTTGAACGTTTGGTAGTAGATTCTTGGCTAGGTAACTGAGACTGGCATAGCAACGTCAATGAAGTTGTGAAGGAGGTGTCTGTGTGGAATAAGGAAGTGTATGGGCACCTTGGAGGGAGGAGGAAGAAGTTGTTGAGTAGATTGGATTGGGATTAATAGAGTGCTTAGTGAGGATGGTTCCTCCTCATCGTCATTACAGAGGCAGTTATGGGCTGAACTAGAGGAGGTTTATTGTGCAGAAGGATGCTTTGTGGGCTCACAAAGCCACGTGCAACTGGTGGGTCATGGGGGGTAAGAATACAAAATACTATCACACATGGGCGAATGCTTGAAGTCTAAGAAACTGTATAGATGCTATCAAATTGATAGTGGCGAGTGGCTTGTGGAGACAAATCACATTAAATCTGAAGCAACTCGGTTTTATATATCCTAGTAAGCATGCCAGTGGACATCGATAATTTGTTTAGACGGGTCATGGATGAGGAGATCGGTCAGGTAGTTCGAAGTACGGGTCCTCTTAAAGCTCCGTGTAAAATCTCCAAGCATAATAGTAAGACTATCTTTATTAATCTACCCAAATTTTTAAAATTAAGGTAATCAAGGGTCTAATCCCATAAAGATTAGTAAGTTTGTAAAATAGCAATAACTGAGATCCCAATTTTTTTTTTCACAATTTAAAATACTTCTAAAACACTATCTTTGAACAACAAATCAGAGTAAATCTTTACATGAATTAATTTTAAATTCACTAGCATCAAGTACTAGAAAATGTCATTAGAATAAAAAAAAAAATTAAAATGTCAATGTAAAGTTGAACACTTGAAGCTCAAAAATAGTATCAGGTTTCACATGAGTATACCTCAGAGCTATGAAACTCAAATATTAAAAAAAAAAAAAAACAAAAACAAAATGATAAACAAAACAATCATCATCAGCCTTCAAAGTCACTGTATGCTTTAACTCTTTTTAACATCGGACATTCATTTACAATGTTGCAAGGGGAGATTGTTATCACTATTCACACTACACACAGGCATCTTCCTCAAAAGCTGTCCTTGCATGATGCTGCATCAAAAATCAATCCATACATAATGCTAAGTTGTCTATAAACCATGAACAGTGAGACTCACTATAAATTCCGTGTGAAACATGGGTCCTCCCAATGGCGGAATCAAGACCCTGAGTCAAGGAGTGCAATGATAGATCTAAGTTATGTTACAAATTTGTTGATAAATTTTGCTCCTTTTTACTGGGAAAAATTGATAAAAATAATTTTAGCCCCCTATGAGTTAACTTGGGATCTGTCACTGAGAGTACAAGATAATTTAATTTAAAAGTTAATATTTTTTAAAAATAATAATTTTAATAATTAAAAATAAACATTAATCTAGGATTAAAATTGTAATAACATAAGTAGTTTGATCATTATTTTTCTTTTCAAAAAATTACAATGAACAGGTTGATAAGGTTATTTATATAAATATACTCTTCATATTTTATCTTAATTATTAAAATATTACATATCTAATAAACTTTTGAGCTCAAACATTTTTTATTTAGGCCAAGGGTGCAAAGTATCAAGAGTAAGATGTGTAAAGTTACAAAATTTATATACTGTACTTGTAATTTTTTCTAAAGTAAGAGGATGCATTGGAACCTTTGTCACTATAACATGGCTCTACCACTGGGTCCCACAGGCCACAGTTTAATGGAAAGAAAAGCAAGAGATGGAAAGGGGTTACTTACCTCTTGACATAATAGTAGCAGAAATCAGCTAAGATGAATGACTGAACCATTTCTGAGAGGAAGGCTGCCAAGAACCAGAAATATCCACTCCCTATCAGAAATAAATATGCCCCTCTAGTCTCATAGATCTGCACAAGATTCACAACCATGCTTCATATTGCTCAATTCCAACTCAAAAGTAGAATATTTTCAACCCAAAAGACAGAAATTTCAGTTATACTGATACGATAGATTCTTGAATAGACTTGGTCCACACAGAAGCAGCAAATCATAAATAGACATGCAAGCATACAGAAGTGGAATCTCTTAAAGTGTTTATTTACTTGCTTGTCAAGTAATAACTTGGTCTAACGATCATTAGTAGAAATTGATTTGGTTTGGTTTAGGCCATATCTCTAACCAAAATATTAACTACTCCCTCCTTTCAGAATTATAAAGTACTTTTAACTAATTTATACTCCCTAATATAAGTTAGTTAATGGCATTTAACATTATACTATTTAATGGGGTATTTTAATTAAAAAACCTCATTAATTACACTCCCCTAATTAAGGGCATTTTTGGAAAGCATTATTAATTACACCTTAAAAGACAGAAAAGACCTTGTATATTTTAACACAATAGTTTAAAAAGAAAAAAAGTGCCTTATAATGCTGAATGGAGGGAATAAACCTTAATGCACAAATATTTTGTGTAAATTTGGTTTTTGAATATTTTTCATTTATGGGAAAAAATGTTTCTTGAAATAATAGACTAAACAACAATAGGATTTATCTGCATAAATTTGAAGGTTTTAATGACATTATTTTTTAAGTTTGGAAGGTTAGGTTATTTAAACACAACTATAAGGATTCTGCTCAATTTAGCCTAAACTCAATAGGCCAGAAATCCAATAAAGACAATTTCCCACCTGAATAATCCAATGAGCCAACGCCAAGAATCTTGAAACACCCAATGCAAATACATAATACCCTGTAAATGTTTCAACAATCTGGGAACAAACCAGTGTTCATAATCTCACTTGAAAGAAGCATATGAAAAATTTTAGCAGAGAAAAAGACTCGACAACAGAACTGACCTTCGCATTCTGCATGAAGCGAACTTGAGGTAGTACAGAAACAGCTTCCAAATACACACAAAATGCCCAAAGGATATTACTCAATTTAGCATGCCTTGTCCTGGGATTAACCAGTACAGCAAGGATTGCTGCAGGCACCACCTAGGTTCATTTCAAAATCATAACATCATATCGACTTAGTGCATCGCAACAAAATCAATGCATGCTGATCAAAGGGGTAATCCATAATCTTTTGTATTTAGAGGAAACAGAAAAATTAAATCATATAAGACCTTTTGAAACATGTGATCAAGGGTACCGAAAAGACCAAGAGGAAGATATGATGGAGAAGATCAACAGATTTAGTGATATACAGTGGGAGATAATAATAAATCCGATATTTTAGCTTCAGTATACCCTTAGATTGATATATTAACAAATATATAAAATATGTGGAAATATATCACTGGTTTTTGCTGGAGTCATTAAGGAAATTATTACCAATTAATGTCTCAATTATTTTCTTCAAGGTTATCAATAGAACTATTGTCCCTGAAAGAAAAAGGTGAATAAAAAAACACACAACCAGAGAGACTGAATTTAGCATACCAAAAAATAAAAGGATCATAACATTGTAACATTCCCTTATGACAGTCCAGCAAGTTTTGCATTGCTAGTGAGCTGAAGACAATATCAAGCTTATATGAAGTCCTCTGAGTAGCACAAACATTTCAAGTTGCAATATATATATATATATGTATGTATATATTTATAAAACTTGCAACAAGACTAGGTTCGTTGAATGCATATGAACAAACCTTCAAGCTAGGTCATAAAACTAAGATCCCCAAAGATGAACTCACTATCACTATCAGTTAGCTCTCTTAAAGGTTTTCATGTGGCTTGAATGCTTAAAGGCCTAATTTTTTTATATTCCATACTTTCTGATAAACCACAATGACACTATACATGTTGTCAAGCCAAAAAAAAATATACTACACAATCTTTCAATGAGTAAATATCCTATAGGGTTGGAAAAAAAATCATGCTTTCAAATACTGAAATCAATTGATACTAGGATTATCTTTAGAGTACCGAAAAATAAGATTTTAGTCTTGAACGGGAAGAAAAAGGACAAAACCAATATTTACCAAAAATAATAGTTTCAAGGTGTCAAGTTCCTTGATATAGGACGATTTCAACTTGAACCTTATCCAGTAGATGATCAGTAATGTTGACAAGAGAGATATAAAATCCAGCACGGTGTGGATGTCTTGCTCCATCAAGAAGCTGCAAATTAATCTCACAGTTAAGAACAGAGCTGTGAGCTCCTGCATCTTCAGTGACAGACCTGGAAAAAGGCAATACAAAGATGATAAAAATCTCTAATTTATATTGTTCACTTCACCAGAAATCTGAAACATATAAACTTGCTGCTATGAAGTTCCTCATTTTCCTGCCTCGAAGAATAATGAAATTATACTGCTCTAACTTTCTCAAAACATGCAACCCAGCTTCTTTAAAATTTATTTAAACCAAATAGAATTGGCCATTGCGTTTTGCTTTAAAATACTTCATAATTGACTGGAAAAGTTCATTTTTCATCCAATTCCATTGAATCAATGTTATCAAAACCTGGAAAACTTTCATTATCCACTTCTTGCAGAAAAAACAAATCCCATATAGATTGATCAATGTCCTTCAGACATTACTATCACCAATTTTCTCACTGTAAAATATCTCTGCAAGAAATTCGTATAATTGGGGTGCAAGGAGTGTGGAGTGAAGAATTTCTAGTGATACTCACAGCCCTTGCTCCAATCAAAATTAAAAATTACTTGTAATATTAATCAATTACAGTTTTCTTTTTTTCCCCTGAACAATCAGTTTATATGAAAGTAACAGACCCATCGGAAAACTGCACAGAAAAGAACCAATCTTTAGGGGAAAGAAAGTACCAGAGCATGTCTTCTGAGTAAGGAGCTTGTAGAAGAGGACAAGAATCCCAGCAAGGTGAACGGCTTCGGAGGAAATAAAGAAAGAATTGTGATCCTTAATCGTAAACTTGAGAGCCACCAAAGCACAGAGAGCAAGAAATACGCCCAGAAAGATTTTGACTTTCACAGATTGCTTCCTCACCCACCCAAACAAAACGCTCACAGGCGAACTCCTCTTTCTTCCCATTATTATCAAATATCAATGATGATTAATATGAATGAATAGCCCCACAAAACTCAAATGACCCAAATATGATTATGAGTTTTCGCTTTTGAAGACGAAGACGAAGACGCACACACAGAGTGAGAATGTGAGAGAGAGAGAGGTGTTTTTTGTAGACACCTCAAGCGCATGCAGTAGGTGTAGGTGGTGAGAGTTCAACTCACATTGAATTTCTGGGCATTTCTGGGGACCAATTAGCGCGAGAAACATGTGGCGCATGAGACGAAATTTGGGTAATAAATTTTATAACCTTAAAAAAAAACTACAAAAATATCAAAAGTATCTAAATTTTTAGAAAACAATATTCTTATAATTTTTAATTACTAATTTAAAACAGTTCAACCTTTATATTTTTTAATTCGAAAGTCAGAACAATGCACTTTTTATAACTTATTTTTTTATTTTTAAATTTTTTTAACTCAACAAATTATAAAGATTGAATAATATTGAATCTAAGTTTAAAAACTAAATAAATAATTAAAAAAATTAAAGAATAAAAGTTACATTAACTGTTTTTTATAAGAATCTAATTTTTTAATTTTAAAAATAAATGAAAATATTGTAATTAATATTGTATACTTTCTCCGTTAAAAAATATAAGGCATTTTTTAATTAAATTTTATGTTTTAATAAAATAGTTATCTACTTTCTAACTAACCTTATCTTTTCATATTTACTCCTATTAAACACCTTATAATAAATATAAAATTATTATTAATAGGAGCATTTTAAAAAAAATCAATGATTGCACCTTAAAAAACTAAAAATGCCTTACATTTTTAAGCACACACTTCTTAAAAAATGTCTTATATTTTTTAACAGAGAGTAATAATGTAAGAATATAATAATGTGTGATTTTTATATATTTATTACAATCTAGAGGATTTTTCTATGATTTTAATTTAATTATATTTATAATAGTAAATTAGGAATAATAGATTTATGGGTTGTGGATTTGGAAATAATATCCATGGAGATTTGACTTTCTAAAAGACTTTTAAACGCACAATTTACTCTGGCCCTGATAGGAAGGAATGAAAGATTCTGAGTCCCTGTAGTATTCTAAAAGGGCAAATAATATTAATCAAAATATCAAGCTTTAATTTTCTTAATAAATGCAGATCTTTTAAAAATTTTGTCTCTTTAAAATTATTATTTTTATTTACAAAACTATACTCCTTTCGTTAAAAAATATAAATCATTTTTTGAGAAATTATCTTTTAAACATTTTTAATCTTTTAAGATATAATTATTCCTTTTTTTTAAAGATATTTCTATTAAATAAATCACTTTATATTTATTTTTGGGTTAAAAACCTATTAAATAAAGGTGAATATAAAAAGATGGAGTTATTTTGAAGATAAGTAATTATTTTATTGGGGTAAGATTCAGTTAAAAATGTCTTATATTTTTTAACGGAAGGAGTATAAATTTTGTGTATTTATAAAAATTTGAAGAATGAATTACATTATTTATAATTCATGAACAATATGATTCGTTATACTTTTGTACTCTAAATTAATTGTTATGAATAATATTTTTCCAATTTATATGTACAATAAATTTAATGACATGTTTTATATTTTGCTAATTGATACATAATTTTTTATCATAATAACACCACATATTTGGCCTTTGACAAGGGGGAGGAAATTTTTATACATTAAAAAAAGACGCATTCACGTATAAATTTTTGTTTGATAGGTGTCCAACTATACATTATACAATTTTAGAAAGTCACAAATCTCTTCTTTCAAAAAATAAAATATATGTCGCTTTAATCTTTTCTATAATAAAAAAGTTCATCATCAATAATCAAAATCAAAATTAACCATAAAAATATAACAAGTTGCATTTTGGTCATGAAGTCATAAAAAGGTTATTTTATTTTAGATTAAAATGAATAAGATTTGCTTTAATTAAGATACATTGCATTTGTTAGTCAAAAAAGGGTGGGAGAGAGAGAGAAAGAGAGAGAGGATACATTGCATTTTTTCTTTACATTGAATTCATCACTTGATTACATTGCATGACTTCTTTCCTTTATGGACCTTAATGTTTACATAATCCCCTCTACATCTAGTTCAAATATACTGTTTTCATTTAATTGAAAAGAAATTTGATATTTCAAAATATAAAATATTTTGATAAAAATAAAATATTATTAATGATATTTTTTTAATGTTACCTTTTTTATATAATGTCCTCTCCTTTAATTTTCTTTTACAAATAGATTATTAAATGAATGATATTTTTAAAAATTTATATTTTTACTTTAAAAAAATAAAGTTGTAAAGTGTATTTAATAACTTTGTTAATAACGTATAATTTTATCTAAATGGTGTCTTGTAATTTGAAATGAAATAAATAGTATATATGAGTATAATAGTAAATTAGTTATTAGCTTTTCTCCCATCCCCTTCTAAACAAAATAAAAGATCATTAAAAATTCCTCCTCATCTCACTCTCTTCAACAAAATCAAACAAGGCAATACAAAAACATTACCCTCCCCTCCTCTACTCTCAAACCAAACATAGCTTAAACCTTTTAAGTTTTGACATGATTTAATTGTTGTTTTTTGCACGATTTATCACACTCAACAATTAAAATATGCTAAAATTCTAAACAAAATTGCATCATTTTAATAGTGAATTAATCTAACAAAAATAGAAAGATGAGTCCTTGCACTTTGCTTGAGTTTTGCTATAAGTTCCTATACTTTTTTTTAGTGTTCTAGTTTCTTATACTTTTATTTTTTTTGCTGTTCTAGATTCCTATAACATCGCTCATAGAGTGATATAAAATATTAAAAAAAATAAATGTAGGGGTTAGAATACTAAAAAAAATTAAGAATTTATAATAAAATTCGAACAAAGTGCAGGGATTAAAGTTATATTTCCCATAATCTATATTGTTGCCTAAATAAGACCTACATTTGTTAGAAGTCATGTTCTGGCAAAAATGCATTCCATTAACTTTTGGTGCAACCAAAAAAAAAAAATCACACACAAATTTTTCCATTTAATGTGAATAAAAGTTAAAAAAAGTATAGAACCTTTTTCCAAATGTAAGATAAATAAACCATATAACTTTGATCACAAACGAATAAATATAAATAATAAAGTAAAAGCTGAAAGATGTCATTTTAATAAGTTATATTTTTAAATAAAATAATTTAAATATATTCCTAGGGGTGATTTGTTGGTATTTTAATTTTTGAAACGTCAACATATAGTATCACATCTTTGGTGAGTCATATTTGAAAAATAAGCCATATAGATCATAACATTTTAACTCATTCATCACATTCCTGGTAACGAATATAGGAAAACATGTATAATTTAATATGTTTTAATAATATAAAGATGACCATATAATTAAGAGAAGAAAAGAGTAAGTTGATTATAAAAAAAGTTGAAATATTGGGTCAACACCTTAGTTTTGATGATAACAAATTAGAGAAGATTTTATTTAATGGGTACATAATGTCTTTAGAAAGGGAGAAGTCAAGGTATAAACAAGCTACTTTGCTTTAATCTCTTATTTTAATTTTCTCTAAGTATCACTACAAGTATTATGTTGATACTATTAATACTGATATGAGCCCTTTCTATTCTAAGCCTTTGATTTATCCTTGCTTTTATGGTAGTGTTATTGACAATATCCATACTCTATCAAAGCTAAATTCTTTTGTATCCCTTGACTTTCAATAGTAAGATCCCACTATTGGTATTAAGCTTCTTTGAGGTCATACATCTCTAGAAGTATTAGACCCCTCCTCTATCAATATTGAAGCTCATAGTTACCTGTTCTTTATTCATATAACAATACCGATATTAACAAGTCATTATTGGCATCATCGTCACCACCTGTATTGATCAGACACTTTTCCTATTGTTCATTATTCTAACCTTTTGAACCACTACCTATATTGTGTTATCACTACCAGAATTCACCTGCCACTATTGATATTCAAAGCCCACTACCTTTATTAATTCCTTTGAAAAATTAATGAGTTTTACAATGACACTTTCAATACTAAACTCACACTACTAGTATTAATATCTTGTTACGAAACTTCGTTTTTCAAAGCTAATTCAATAAACTTTTATTTCTTTGATTTAATCCTTCCTATCCATTACTAAGTGTTGTGTAATCATTTCATTGAAGAAAAATCATTTTAAAACACACTTTGGGTAAAGTTTTATCTTATTCCAATTCTTTGTTACCCTATTGTGGTTTTTTCTATCAGTATTCGTTTTACCTACTTTTTATTAAAGCATTAAATACATTAAGACATTTATTACTTCTCTTGTTGTGTGTGAAAATCTCCATCATAAAGCATTGTTTAACACTCTTATTTCTAACGACTAATTTGATGAGTCTAATGAATCTTTAATTGACTTCAATAATGAAGATGGACATAAAAGTGTCGTTATGCAAACTACCTTATTCATTACTTATCAACCTTCTATGATTACATTTATTATATTCACACTTCATTGATTATATATCAGCTCTTCGAGAGAGTTTTCATTGTAGAAGTTCATTTTATGAACTACTTTGTTTATCTTTATTTTTATACTTGAGAACAAATGACTTAAGTTTAGAGAGCTAAAATGGGGTTAATCATTACTTTGATAAGGGAGAGTGATTCAAACTTGTTTGGGATTGTATTAAAACAGCCAAGGGATTGAATTAATTTTGGTAGACTTAATAGAGAAAATATCAAATGAAACTTGAGGATTAGACGTAGGTTTAAGTTGTTGGAATTTAATTAAGATAAATACCACTACACTCTTCTTTCTCTCACTCTTCAATTATTTGGTGATATTATTCGTTCTCTAAACTCATTTATTTTCAGCATTATTTGTAAAAATTTCATTTAACCCAATTTCGTCTCTCTTGGGCCTCATTTACAAACCTTATAATTTCCTTGAATATGAAGTTTAGCTTAATATGACTGCTTTGATATCCAAATTTTCTTATAAAAATTAAGTAGGGAGAATGACAGTTAGTTTCTAAAAGAATAAAGTAATGACAGTTAAGTCTTCGATAAAGACTTTTGTAAAAAAAAATTATAAATATAATTTCAAACAAATTTTTTTGGTTACAGTCTCAAAATTATATTTGATATTATACTTA